GACACTTCCAGTTTCAGCGTGGGTGCGTCAGACGTCACGTGTCCCAAATTGAGGGCACAGTCTGCCTCTCAGTGCTTTGTGTGGGGCTTCCTGCCTTGCAGTTTTTCTCAGAAACCCTGCTGAGTCTACCCCAGCAAATTGTAGTCGGCCCCTAACCACACATGTGCTGAACGAGGGCTAATTTTGGCAAAATGCAATTAAGGCATGGTGGTTAGTTTGATTGAAGGCTTCTGTCAATATCTGTGGTGATATAAAAAATACAAATTCTAAATAGTTTAGTTCTGTCTTCCATGACCTAATAGATCTGCGTCTGAATACAATATTCAGAAATCGTTTTGTTTAAAACAAGCTCTTCTAAGCAAGATGTTGGGTTTAAGACAGTTCTTTTCCAGAGTTTTAGATGGAGCGAACTTTGAAGCCTGTGATTTGTGCCAAGTAGTGGTTGCAAATATTTATAGCCAGAAATGTAGGAAAGACATTTTATTTTCCTCTTATTGTGTTTTTATTTATTTGTAGGGTTCTATGCAAATGTATACATATTTGCATATACATTGATCTGTACATTAGATTCTATATTTGCCCATAAGCACTGAGCTTGTGTATTTAAGTGCAAGGCAACACCAGAATACCTGAATTGTTATATCCACTTTTGGAGTTGCATCTGCACTTTTAATTTTGTATTTTTATCTCTAAACCATTGGAAGGCAAATCTTAAATAATTGAGCTCTGATAAACCATATATCTAAAACCAGACAAGAATATTCTGGTTATACTTTCAGAGCAAAATTATTGTAATCTTGGTCACTTTATTTTTTATGACATCGTAAGAAAGATCAAATTCGAGTTTTAAGTCTCTGTTACTACAGTGGGTTTTAAATCTGTTTTGCAGGCATTAACCTGGCCAACACATGAGCTTCTTGATGATTATGGAAGACTTCCTCCCATTAAAAGCTCTTTTCGGTTGTGGGCAGATCCTCTGGAGCTTGGAAGACATTCATGCTTTAAATTACAAGCCGCTCTTATAGCCTTTTTTTTCCCTTCTCTCAAATAGCTGAAGTAAGAAGCAAGTTTTCTACTGGTTATCACAGAATACCTTGCCAGAAGCCTTGAATCAAAATCTTAAGAGATGCCAAGATTAAAAAATTGACTTAAAAGTTGCTTGATCACCACTATTTCAAATCTGAAGGGAAGACAATAAGAGCAAATAAGTACATGGGTGCTGCAGGCTCATGTCCTAGTCCACATGGGCATAAGGAGCAATTCTGATGCTTTTTGTATGGTGGTTTGCAGTTGATTAGAGTTTGTAGTGAAAAGTAAGACATTACTGTATGTACTATTTCCTTGAATGTACATCCTATATTGAATAGCTCATTCCCTGTAAGACTTCGTGATTGCTGTCAGCACAGTTCTTTTTTTGCCCAGCAGTGACCACAACATGTCTTCGTGCCTGTGTACTCTAGCGGAAGGATGTATGCACCGCTAACAAATATATGATCTATGTAGCTAATGCTAATACCCACAAAACTGTACAGAATGTCTGTTTTCCTAGCTTTGTCCTTTAAAGCGGAACTTAATTCTCTCAATCAACATTGACTATATTGAATTCTTATGTTGCTAGGATTGGTAAATAGAAATGTATATTTACTGTATTAAAACTGTTTTTTACATTTCTTTAGTCACTTCCTGGTTTACATGCCTAGGCAAATGTTTTACATCCCAGTAGTCTTCAGGAGGGGTTTTCTCAGCTAAGCACACTTTGTTGCCTGCCTACCTGAGCATATGGTTTCCAGGATGTAAATGCTACATGAAACATTGCCCTTACTCAAGATGGCCATGGCCAGAAAAGCTAGGGGGTGACTTTCAAAGTGATTTCTCAGCAACATAAAGCATGGAGACATGGATGTATGTGGAAGTTTGCTTTGAATATTACAAATAAATTAAATAGCGCTATTAGTTTGTGGTGCTCAGATACAGTGTAGTTCCGCTTTAGGGATACTTCAGTTAATTTATGTACCTGCTGTAGACTTGTTGTTTAGCTGCAGTGATGCCTTTGAACTTAGCACTGCCATATAAGTTGATAATTAGTGCTGTGTGTTTAAAGCCCAGATCTAGACACTATCCTTTTTATGTCTTTGTAGTCCTAAAGAGAGAAGTATGCCCAAAATTTTTTTTTTTTTTTTTGGTCCATTCTTCTCTTTTGGATCACAGGAGTGCACTTGTGCTCTCCTGTCACCCAGAATCCACTGATGTCACAAAGCTGGTCCAGTCTTTGGAAGTATCCCGACAATGTTGAGATCCACCCAGATGCCTGATCATCAGCTAGCTCAGCCTCTGTGCACTGCTTCCAACTCCTCCCAAGCCCAGTGCTCTAGTGAGTGCTGGAGAGGAAGAGGAAAGAGCTGGTGACTGACTGTCACTTTTCAGCGAGAACTGAGCAATCATCTGTCATGTAATTGCTTGGTTCTCAGGCTTGACGCTAGCCAGGGACATCTGCAGATGAAAGCCTTCTTACTGCAGACAAATTCAAAAGCATCCAGTCTTTCTGCAGCTTCCATTGTACTTCCAGCCTGTGTTGAAGCTGCAGCAAGACGCAACATATAAGGCTGTTTAGTGAATGGCAAGCACAGACAGGGCAAAGACATGACCTAAGCAGTTATTTATAGCTGCCTTGCTGATGTCTAGCTGGAGCTGTACTATCCAGGGAAACTGATTAAGATTGTAGCAAGAATATACATAAATTCAAAGACAATGTAAAGGGATATTGGGAACGAAAAAGGTATGAAAAGGATAGTGTCTGGGGTTGGTCTTCTAGAGGGAATGTAAAACTGTTTTATACATAATTTCTTGATTCAATATGATCCAGACAAAAATGTGTGTTATATTGCATATTATTTTTTTGTCTTTTTGGCTCTCTTTGATGAATAAAGTCAGTTTACAGGAGCTCAAGCTGAAATGAATGCTGGCATGTGTGCTGCTCACTACAGTAATGGCTCAGCCACAATTTCAAAATGCATATCTGTGCTCTCTCTTTGGCTAACTGTGCAATCTTCTTAGCTAACCCACACTTTGTCATGTATTTTTAAAGTAGAGTGAATAAACTAAAACATAAATGCACACAAAAAACTAAACATACTGTACACCATGTCCCAAACTAGTTCCCTTTAGGAAAGCATTTGGGTATTTACAATGGGGCAAAAAAGTATTTAGTCAGCCACCAATTGTGCAAGTTCTCCCACTTAAAAAGATGAGAGAGGCCTGTAATTGGCATCATAGGTAGACCTCAACTATGAGAAAAAAAAATCCAGACAATCACATTGGCTGATTTGGAAAGAATTTATTTGCAAATTATGGTGGAAAATAAGTATTTGGTCAATATCAAAAGTTCACCTCAATACTTTGTTATATATCCTTTGTTGGCAATGACAGAGGTCAAACGTTTCCTGTAAGTCTTCACAAGGTTGGCACACACTGTTGCTGGTATATTGGCCCATTCCTCCATGCAGATCTCCTCTAGAGCAGTGATGTTTTGGGGCTGTCGCTGGGCAACACGGACTCTCTAGCAAACTTCAGACGGGCCCGGACATGTACTGGCTTAAGCAAGGGGACACGTCTGGCACTGCAGGATCTGAGCGGTGTAGTGTGTTACTGATAGTAGCCTTTGTTACGTAGGTCCCAGCTCTCTGCAGGTCATTCACTAGGTCCCCCCGTGTGGTCCTGGGATTTTTGCTCACCGTTCTTGTGATCATTTTGACCCCACGGGGTGAGATCTTGCGTGGAGCCCCAGATCGAGGGAGATTATCAGTGGTCTTGTATGTCTTCCATTTTCTAATTATTGCTCCCACAGTTGATTTGTTCACACCAAGCTGCTTGCCTATTGCAGATTCAGTCTTCCCAGCCTGGTGCAGGTCTACAATTTTGTTTCTGGTGTCCTTTGACAGCTCTTTGGTCATCACCATAGTGGAGTTTGGAGTGTGACTGTTTGAGGTTGTGGACAGGTGTCTTTTATACTGATAACAAGTTCAAACAGGTGCCATTGATACAGGTAATGAGTGCAGGACAGAGGAGCCTCTTAAAGAAGAAGGTACAGGTCTGTGAGAGCCAGAAATCTTGCTTGTTTGTAGGTGACCAAATAAATTCTTTACAAATCAGCCAATGTGATTGTCTGGATTTTTTTTCTAATTTTGTCTCTCATAGTTGAGGTCTACCTATGATGCCAATTACAGGCCTCTCTCATCTTTTTAAGTGGGAGAACTTGCACAATTGGTGGATGACTAAATATTTTTTTTTGTCCCACTGTATATCAAATGCTTCATCCACAAACTCTTGGTGCTAATAAGGAAGTGCGTTTAAATTAAAACCGAAAATGTTCTAAATCACTAATGTGCTTGCTGTGGTTTAGTCTAGTACAGTATATTCCTATTTGTTTATGGTCTCTTAAAATAAAGCTCTCTTTACTGCATGATAAGCACTAGGAAATCTTTCTCTGTTCATACTTTGCCTTAAAAAAAAAAAAAAAAAAAAAAAAACTGTTGCTGCAAAAAAAGGTACAGTGGCTTGCAAAAGAAAATCAATGCTTTCCTCTCTGGCAGGCGTAAGTACATTGGGGCTTAGCTGTGTACAGGAGCTCTGGCGGTTGAAACGTCTTCTGCTTCAAACACAATTACTGGTCTCCTTCGTGCTTTGGTTCTGTCCACTGACTCCCACTTCACTACATGACACAGTAGGCGCATGTGGATGGAACCAGAGCACACATTGTTTTCTTTTTGTGTTTTTTTTTTTTTTTACAGCAATTCCAAGCAAAACTTGGTCACCAGTATAGGAAGTGTGAGGATGGTTTCCCAGTTTGAACACCTGTAAAACTTAAGAGCCTTTTCTGTACTGTCCCAGAAAATATTTGGCCAAAATTAGGCATTTTGCAGTCCACAGAATTCCAGCGAATGTGATTTAGTATGTTGTGGATTTTACTGTATACAAATGTGGTTATTTAAAATGTATTTCAGTGCAGAGATAGAAGAGGAGAGTGATCTGTGTTTAATACAGCGGAAGAGGGAAGGGCTGAAACATTTGAGGCTTCCAGCAACTATGGAAAGAACTGAAAGGTATGTACCTTTTGTGTATTATTTGACTGCACAATTCCACAAGTGTATAATCAAGCAGCTATGTACTAAAAACATACTTTTCTACTAAATAAAGCCAATCTCCACTCAAATAATCTACCTCATGCCTCCACCCCCTCTTGTTGCTGGCAAAAAAATAAAGATTTACTTTTTTAGGGCTTGTTTACAAAAGTTTGGTCTTCTGAAAAGCAATCCTTGGTACATTGTTTTCAGGGTTCCTTTGACAGGCAGTGAGAAGGTGTTTTGTCATCTCCTCACCGGCAGGCAGTACTAATTGAAGAATGTGATGTGTGGATAATGTATACAACCCCCGTACGCTGCCTTTGCAGCTTAAGGGGGAGTGGTAAAAATGCTCAACTACATGTTTTTACCGACCCTACCTGAAAGTATAAACCTAGCCTCATCGAAGCCTACAAGGACACTGGAAGTTTAGTCTGTGTGTCCAATCTCAGCATTTTCATGTGGCTGGAATTCCAAGGTGTTGACCCGCTACCTGCATTCTGAACACAAGCCCAACTTAATGCAGCATCAAGCTGCAGCGTATTTTGAGCCAGTCTTTACTTTGCACCCTGCCTCCCAGCCCCATGAAAATACTAGGATTGGATGCATGGGACCTTAATGTCTAGTGTGTATGTAGCCCAAAGCCACAGTCTTGTGACACTTCAGTCCCAAGTCTTCACTTCTGTTTACATGAGGCAGGTTCCTCCTTTTGGGAGCACCTAAAGGACCATGCTCTAATGTAAACAGAAGAGAAAGCAGTGCAATGGACACTTCTATTGGCTGTTCAACAATCCGAATCCAGAAGAAGAGTGATGCCATGTTAAAGGTTTACTAGTTGGCTTCTAGAAGTTTTTTATCAAGAAATATACATAGAAAAACTGGAGTTGAACTAAAATGTTTCAAAACACCTTCAGCAAGATTTTCCAAAAATCCCCCAGTGCAATTAAATATGTCCTGATTAGTACATACCTGTACGCCTCCCACTTAAAATGCTGCATCTCTTCCCATTATCCATGCAGCTGTGGGGGGCTGCCCTCTTGACAAAAACTGCTGTTCCTCTGGTCCTCCTCCATCCTGTTGTTCGCTGGATGGGCTGGACTGTACAGTCGTGTGCCTCTAGCGGTCGTTCAAACCGTGTGCAGTGCATTCTCCTCTTCTCTTCCTGAGCTTGGGAGACATCCCCCTATATAACCCTTCCCACTTTCAGCTCGTTTCAATTTTTTTTTTTTTTTTTGCTGGTGTCCATTGCCGATGGACATCTTCTCTCTACTGACAATAGACAGGAACATTCGACTCATTCTGACTCTTAGCCTTCTGAACAAATCCATAAAATACAAAAGGTTCTGGATGGACTCCATCTCTTAGGCACGAACGATTCTTCGGTTGGTTTATGGCAACCTTCAATCTAAAAGATGCTTACTTGTATGTTTCCATCCACCCAGATTCATAAACCTTTCTGAGGCTGGTGATCCTATGGAAGGGAAGATAATGCACTCCTAATTCAGGACACTGCCTTTGGGGCTTTTTTTCTGCTCCCAGGACTTTCAAAGGTGATGGTGGAAGCATTAGCCCCCCTGGAGCCATCCCAGGAGAAACTACTCAGACAGGATCTGTAGAGGGCAATCCCTCCCAATTCCCACTCCTTTTTTTTTTTTTTTTTTTTTTTTTTTTTTTTTTTTAAACCTGGAGTGAATAATGCATAGGGAGTGATCCAATATAAGCTTGCAAAAGACTGATTAAAGAAAATGAGGGAGGTCCCTTCAGCAGCTTCAGTGCAACATTCCAGTCTCCATTTAGGTGGCTATATCCCTGTTGTGCTTAATGTTAGCCTGGACTGTTGCCCTGTGACCCTGGACTAAGTCCTTGCTGTACCAGAATTCCGCCTGTCCCTCATACCTGAACTGTTGCCCTGTGACCCTGGACTGTGATTGTGGCCTGCTACTCACTGTTCCCAGATTGTACCCTGCAATTCTGGACTAATTCCCTGCTATACTAAATTGCTGCCGTGTGCCTCTGGACTTATTCCTGGATGTTCCCTATTACCAGCCTGTTATATTTCTTCATCTCCCGCAAATTGTTGGAATTGTTGCCCTGTGGACTTATCCTTTATCTGTCTTCCGGGATTTTAGCCCCCCAAAATAAAGAACCCCTTGGTCAGGGGCCCTACAATTTCTCTTGATCTCCACGTGTGTTCTATTCCACCCACACCTATGATTGAAGTGATATTAAAGGCAATTATCTTTTTTTTATTTTTTTTTTTTATAACAAACAAGTCATACTTGCCTGCTCTGTTTTGCACCAAGCAGCCCTGATCTTCATCTTCTCGGGTCCTCCACCGGAGCTTCTGGCCCCTCCCTCCTGCCAAGTGCCCTTAGAGCAAGGAGCTTGCTGTCCACACACAGAGCTGTGGTTTGGCCCCACCCGCTCTTTCTCTTCATTGGTGCACTGGCTGTGATTGACAACCAATGAAGAGGAAGAGTCCCTGGAGAGCCAAGGCTCTCATGCACATTACTGGATTGTGATGGGCTCGGGTAAGTATTTGGGGGGGCTGCGGCACACAGATTTTCTTTACCTTCACGTTTAGAATGAATTGGATATGCACATGCATAGAATTACAATTGGGAATAGACAATCCAGTGCTTCTGTATCAACACAAAACATCCATGTGCCAGGATCCAAGATGGCCGTGGCAAGTCGCACATGCATGGTTGGTGTGTGTTCTGACTCTGTCTTATGCGTTTTGTCACAAATGACATTAAATATATATTTATAAAGTATAATATCTTGGATCAGCCTGTGAAAAAAAAAATAATAATTTTTGAGCTGTCATTACCATTGATACTTGGTGCCTACATTGATTTATGCACTTGTGTGAGGACACACTCCTGTGCTCTGCTTCTTCACTACAACCAGACAGATGTGAAGAGAGCAGGGTTGGTTGTGGACTTCAAATTGTGATGAGAAGAGCACTGCATCTTATAAGGCACGGGATATGTACAGAGAGATCTTACATCATCTCTCTAAGGGGCACAATATAGATGGTGTACTTGGGGTAATATTATAGGTGAGAAATGTGTACACTTTAAAGTATGTCAAAACCAAAGATAATTTAATGCATTGCAGCTTACTAGTCCTTAAATGGTGGCTGTACTAGTTTTCATTTTTCATGGTAAGTGTATTTTTATTTATTCTTTGTCACCTCTAAAAAAAAAACACAATCAACAGAGAGAGAGAGCAAACTACTCTAGTGCTATTAATCAATTCAATAAATAAGTTAAAATCGCAATATGTCATCTACTCACAAAATTAGATGCTTAAAGGCTCAACAAGACCACATCTCAGTCTTTAATGTCCACCTGGATGGAGATCCTTCTTTGGATGAGATCCCTCTGCACACTGCTGGGCTGATGAAACAAGCCTGCCAGAGGGGGGCTGCTGCTGCTTTATCATATGGGCGGGCCGTCAGATGGATCAGGCATTCACAGCTTCAACACAACCCACGCCACTCACTGGGGATGCCAGAAGGAACAGACCTTGAAGTGGAGGAGATGGGAAGCATACAGTTGCCAGGACAACCTGTTTTGGAGGCATGGCCTCCTCAAGATGAAGTTATGTAGTGACCAGTGGGCATAGATAATAAGTAAATAATAAAATAATTGATGAATAAAGAATTGCGCAAACCCATACACTGAGCCGTTGCCTTAGATTACAGTGTTGAGATCGCAATTTATTATAAATACTCATAGCACTGTCAATTTAAGTAGAGCTTTACATATACAGTGTCTCACAGAAGTGAGTACACCCCTCACATTTTTGTAAATATTTTATTATCTTTTCATGTGGCAACACTGAAGAAATGATACCTTTGCTACAATGTAAAGTAGTGAGTGTACAGCTTGTATAATAGTGTAAATTTGCTGTTACCTCAAAATAACTCAACACACAGCCATTAATGTCTAAACCACTGGCAACAAAAGCGAGTACACCCCTATTTTGAAAATTGTACAAATTAGGCCCAATTAGCCATTTTCCCTCCCCGGTGTCATGTGACTCGTTAGTGTTACAAGGTCTCAGGTGTGAATGGGGAGCAGGTGTGTTAAATTTGGTGTTATCACTCTCACTCTCTCATACTGGTCACTGGAAGTTCAACATGGCACCTCATGGCAAAGAACTCTCTGAGGATCTGAAAAAAAGAATTGTTGCTCTACATAGAGATGGCCTAGGCTATAAGGAGATTGCCAAGACCTTGAAACTGAGCTGCAGCACGGTGGCCAAGACCATACAGTGGTTTACCAGGACAGGTTCCACTCAGAACAGGCCTCGCCATGGTTGACCAAAGAAGTTGAGTGTACGTGCTCAGCGTCATAGCCAGAGGTTGTCTTTGGGAAATAGACGTACGAATGCTGGCAGCATTGCTGCAGAGGTTGAAGAGGTGGGGGGGGGGGGGGGGTGTTCAGCCTGCACATTGCCACACATTGCATCAAATTGATCTGCATGGCTGTCGTCCCAGAAGGAAGCCTCTTCTAAAGATGATGCACAAGAAAGCCCAAAAACAGTTTGCTGAAGGCAAACTGACTAAGGACATGGATTACTGGAACCATGTCCTGTGGTCTGATGTGACCAAGATAAACTTATTTATTTTAGATGGTGTCAAGTATGTGTGGTGGCAACCAGGTGAGGAGTACAAAGACACGTGTCTTGCCTACAGTCATGCATGGTGTGGTGGGAGTGTCATGGTCCGGGGCTGCATGAGTGCTGCCGCCACTGGGCAGCTTTAGTTCATTGAGGGAACCATGAATGCCAACATGTACTGTGACATACTGAAGCAGAGCATGATCCTCTCCCTTTGGAGACTGGGACACAGGGCAGTATTCCAACATAACGACCCCAAACACACCTCCAAGATGACCACTGCCTTGCTAAAGAAGCTGAGGGTAAAGGTGATGGACTGGCCAAGCATATCTCCAGACCTAAACCCTATT